GTAAATTTTTCAACACACCCACCTTAATGACGTGCACGCCACTTTGTTTGGCGTTGACTATATACTGTTATCGCTGGCGTGTCCTATGTGATGACGTAATATGGCTGGTCGGTGGTCATGCAATATTGGCTTGATATCTAATATGTTGGCATTACTATATACATTGCTGTTCCACGCATGTTCTGCTATCCCTGATTTGTCAGATCCGGCCCGGTGAGTGTGAAGTCGGTGCTCCTTTATACTCACAGCTAGTGATCTCTTCATCTCCCCGATGTAAGCTTTTACACATTTACATGGAACCTGCTATATGCAGCCCTTTGTGTGTAGTTTGTTTTTTGTGAGAATCGTCGGTAGTATCCTATTCCTTGATAATCTGGTTTCGATGTGGTACTGCTTCCCGATTCTTCTTATTATACTAGAAGCGCCTTTCACGTACAATATTATGAGGATCTGCTGCTGTGTATCCCGCGTGCTCCTCATGATCGTAGTATCCTTTTGCAAAACTTCTTCTACTATTTTTCTTGAGTGTCCATTGTTTGTTAGATCTTCATTAATCTTGCGGGTCTAACTTGCCTGTGTGCTGCAGATGTCTTTAGCTCTATCAACGAGAGTTCGAATCACCACTTTTTTCGTGGTCACAAGATGATTTGAAGAATAATCTAGGTATTATAAGAACGATTCGCAATGTTTATGTGACAGTATATTTATAAACTTCTAACCTAAGAAATTCTTCGTGCCTCAATATCAATATCAGTCAGAAATATTTTATATATAAGGTGCACATAACGCATTTTTCCCTGGACAGCTGGGTCAACGATGAATAATCAGATGGGGTTCCAATATTGGAGCTGTAGTTATTGAGGTGTGAAGTAACAAATAGACGTTCACCAGTCTTCTGAGAATATGAAGATATTTTGTGTAATGAATAATCTCATCATCACCTTGTCCTCTAGCAAATCATATTAGAGCGTATGAAACTTGTCTTCGATTATTAAAAAAATAATAATAATAAACTCTTCATAAAATACGCCCACCATGCAATCAGCAATTCTTTTCTTACTGATATTCATTTTACTGTAGGGCCTTATGCCAGGGGACAAAGATTTTCATTAACGGCAAATAATAGAGATACCAGAGCTTCAACCTGCCCGACTCTAACTTAAAAAAAAAGTTATATATAAGGCTTACAGGGTAAAATGTGAAGTCTTTTCTGTATATAAAAGTTATACGGTCCAGTTATAGGGTTAGGAAGCGTTGTCAGATAGACTATCTGTAAGGCAGGGAAACAACGTCTATGGACCAATTGTATGAACGTGTTCAACTGACTTTCTTCTCAGATGGTTTAGTTTGTGTTGAACATAATCATCTATGAACTGATAACGGCGTTGCGTGACGTGAGATGTGCAGAGACAGCCTACTTCACGCCATTTCCTTCATTCCGATGCCATTGCCTATGCAGAAGCCTAAATGGCACGCATCGCGGCTGCTCAGAGACACTTTGTTATTCCAACCTAAGGTTTGAAGAGCTGGGAAAAACTTCCTCAGGTAGATTGTTCCACAATCTGGACACTGTAGGCGACACAGGAGCGGTGGTACCGGCCAATTCTGGATGTACAAAGTTCGATACACTTAGGGCCAGTATTATAATGTCTAGTTGACCGGAGGTTGAATGTCAAACTGGACTCAAACCGCACTTTACGTATTATAAACGATAACCGAAGGTTGAACCGCGGGTTGAGCGCTCGTTCAGTCAACTCGAACCTATCCTCAGGTTGAACTGTCAACCGAAGGTTTAAAGCGGCATTCTAACCTCAAATAACGAAATTGTGATTAGTGTGTTTATGTTTATGAAGTTACAAAATTATTTGTCAAAAAATGGCATCTCCATCATCATCACCAGAAACTGAATTAAATTTGCATAGCAGACTAGTTTGGGCAGATAGTAGTAACGAATCGTCGGATTCTGATGAGAGTGAAGAACCTAGAACCAGGGCACCTCGCAATTTTAGAGCAAGAATGGATCATTTCACCCGTTGGAGCGACGAGGAATTTCGAATCAGATTTAGATTAAGCAAGGATACGGTCGTAATGCTAGAGCAAAGATTTCGGAATGAGATAGCACCGAAAACTAACCGGTAATTATACAAAATGTAAATTGCATGAAATGACGAGTATGTTTTAAATTTGTTGTTTTTAGGAACTGTGCGATAACATCAATGCAACAAATACTTCTTGCCTTGAGATTTTGTGCTACTGGATGCATGTTGCAAACAATTGGTGACTTTGCAGGTATACATAAGTCCACAGCAGGTCAGATTGTAAAGAAAATAGTTAAAATGATTGCAACATTGGCTCCAGAATTTATATATATGCCAAGGACCCAACAAGAAATAGAAGAAACTAAACATAAGTTCTATTCAATTGCTCGATTTCCTCGAGTTGTAGGAGCTATTGATTGCACTCATATAAAAATAATTTCACCAGGTGATTATTTTTGCACTAGGTTTGTAATAATAAGTAACTCTCGTATTTTTGTAGGAGGGGAAAATGCTGAATATTTTAGAAATAGAAAAGGCTATTTTTCTCTTAATGTGCAAGTAGTAGGTGACTCAGAGCTAAAAATTAGGGATATTGTTGCACGATGGCCAGGCTCAAGCCACGATCAAACAATATTTGCTAACAGCAGATTACAAGGTCGACTTGAACAAAATGAATTTGGAAATGCCATTCTGCTTGGAGATTCAGGTTATGGTTTAAAAAAATACTTAATTACTCCAATTGCAAATCCCAGAACAAACAGTGAACAACTATTTAATGAGGCACAAATTAGAAGTCGGAACCCAATTGAGCGATTATTTGGAGTATTAAAAAGGTTTCCTATTTTATCACTTGGAATAAGGGTCTCACTTGGCACTGCAAAGAACATTATTGTCGCTTGTGCCATATTACATAACCTGGCCATCGATATGAAAGAGCCAGATCCAATAGTAGATCCTAATACTCTAATTGGCAATGGCATACATGAAAATGTTCCAGTTGGAGATGGAAATCATAACTTTCGAGAAGAATTTATTTTATATTTTTCAAATTTGTTAGAGCAGGCACAATAAAAATTATATTATTGTTTTATTATTTATACTTTTTGTTCTATATGTATATGTCCTTTTCATTGAAGTATATATGTTATGGCGCACAAATCATAGTTCTCTATAGAGATATTTATGTTGACAATTAGAAATGAAATATATGAATAAATAATACAAGTTTTTAACAGTATAACTAACCTTTTATTTCCTTTATAATTGTTTTTTTAGCAACTCTATCTCCAATTGCAATTTTGCATTTTGCAATCTTATATTTTCTATTTTGTACTTATGGATTTCTGCTTCTCGTTCCATACGTGCAATATGATATTCCTTATTTCTTTGGGCTTCCTCCTCCATTAATTTCCTCTTTAAATTTTGTTTATCATCTTCACTTTGGTGATCAGTTGCCTTTCTCTTCACTTGTAATACTCTATGTCTTTTGCTTCGTAACATTTTAGGAGTGTAATCTGACCAGTCTGAAATATATATACTCATATAATAATGGAAAATGTACAGACCATTGATTTGTACTACCTTTCTTAATTTCAGGATCTTTCTTTGTTTCTGTCAGCATTTCGTTTTCTTTTACTTCAGATTCACTATTCTTAAAAATATCTAAAATATAAATATAGGGAGTATATTATTAAACATAAGACAATGTATACCATTTTTTTGTTCAGCAACTGTCTCTTTTGGCAGGTTATCAAATAGAATATCTTCTTCTAAAGCTTGCTGCAATGTATCTGAAATATAATTTTGCATATGCTGAAATCATTATAGAATATTAAATTATTATACATACTAGGCTGTCCCTTCTCTACTACATCCATCACCAAATCGCTATCACCATTACTAGGCTCTAAACCCTGGACTGAGAAGCTAATTATACTATTAATTTTAGCATACAATAATTTAAGTGAACCTTTTATATCAGGTTCGCTCACACCACCACCAGTCTGATATAACGCTTGTCTTTTGTGAGCCTCGAGCTTGCGCACTTCTTTTTTTAGGTTATCGTATTTGCAACGTAACTGTTCAGCTGTTCTTGGCTCCATAGTAGTGGCATTATAAATATCTGCTATTTTTGCCCATGCAGTTATCTAAAATATACCCCACATGTAGATTTTTTACTAAGAATTTATAGAAATAATCACTCACCTTCTCTTTCCAAGTTGTGGCATCTGTTTTCTTACATTCGATAATATTCTTATGAGAAATAATTATATCCACAAGCGTATGACAATCAGCTTCTGAATATATTATTCTTTTGCTTCTCGTAGACATATTAAATAACTTTAATTCACAAATAAAACGATAAATAGCGGAGGAAAATAGAGAATTGACATTCCTGGCAAATGACGTTTGTTTCTTCCGCCAAATAACTCGCATTTCATTGGGTCAAATCAAAATGTCAGTGTAGCCAACAGACCTTAACGAGCGTCAAGTCTCGGTTAGCCAACTTATGGTTGTAAGTTGCTTTATAATACCGACCAGCTCTCAGCCGGCGGTTGAATTTCAACCGGTGGTTGAACAACCTTCGGTCAAGAGCAGCTTTTATAATACCGGCCCTTAGGATGGGAAGTCGAAGTCATGCGTTTCTGTTTGGCAGGATTATCGCACGGTGGCATCGTGAAGGAGAGCTCTGAAGAGGGTCTCGAGATTGTATTTTAGAGAAGAGTCATTGGCCAGTCGAACAAACGTCTGAACAATATCAAGCATTTGTTATGTAGTCGAGGCGGCAGCATCCCAAACATGTGAGCATTAGCGTGGGAAGTGCAGAGTCAAACATTTTTCACGTGCATAGTACTAAACGAGCATTCACATACTCCATCTTCAACTAATACCATTTTTTTCGACGTGTACATATCTTTATTTCCATGCTTTTACCCGAGTGCTCATCGCATGTAACGACAGTCAGATTCTTTTGGGACCTTCATCCTTCATACAGTCCCCGTCTTTCCAGATACATCTGAGAATTGGGAGAGCAGGGAATTCCCCAGACACATGAGTGGCAACTAAATAGGGAACAGCATCGAGCGTTTCGTTTTGCTCACTAGGCGGCGTTGCGAGCTCTCTAGAAGGAGATTGGGGTATTCTGCGCCCATATATGCGATCAGACCAATTTTTACGTGGTCTTTTTTCCTGCGACGCCAAGTCAGCGGCGTGCCTCAAGTTGGAGATTATCCAGTATATTAATATTTTTCTTATTTTCAATCTGCAACACTGCCAATGTAGTTTTATAGTGAAGTATTAGTAGAGCCAGAACATAAATAGAAAGTTACCATGATTAACACAAGGAAGCTAAATAGATCTTGTTCAAGCGAATATTGAACTGCTGTAGATAAGACCACCAGGACGATAAATTCTAATATGATACTAAAACCATAGAGAAGTGTCGTCTGTCGAAGTTGAGATGAAGAAACGGTGTCAAGTATGTTGACTTTACACGAAACGCTGTGATCAGTTCATAAAGGATTATGTCCGGCATACGTTCGACATCTGGCAACGTTGCTATGGCTAATCTCTCTACAGTCAACCATCTGTCCCTATAGTTCCCAAACCCCAATATATAACCCATACATTTGTTTATCTAAAAGTGAAAGGAATTTCTGACACGTCAAAACAGATAGGTTGAGCGATGTGCAATATTTTTCTTTTCGTTTTTGATCACTAGCTCCGCCGCCACCCGACCGATTTTTAAGAGCTACATTGATTCTCATAAGTAGTAACATTGTGTGGCAGTTTTAATAACATCTGAACGGTACTTTAAAAGTAATTGACGACAGACTGACAGACCGACGCAAATGAGTGTCATATTTTTGATGATATACACATACCATATAATGTCGAAAACCGCCACAAATATGATTTAATTGAATTCCTATTTATAAATGTCAGCGTTAACTTGAATTTAGAAGAAATATGCCTAATGTTTTGCAGGTTTACTCAATAGCAACTTTAATTTCAAAAAACAGTGGACGCCACTGCTGCTAGCGATATATATTCAGGAGAAAGGGAGAATGGTGTTGTGCATGGAAATAGGTATATCATTTCTGCGGAGGTGTTATTGGCTTGGGAAATGGATTTTCCACCATGCTTTAAACTATGCCTCTTCATCTATCGCATACACGACAGAAAATATCATACTGATATCAAAAATCGATATGTTCGTGTTAGTTTTACACAAAAATTATCCAGTTGACCTCCCGAAGACGGTTAATGCCGGCACTAAATAATCAGAAAGGCGCCCACGTGTTGTTTAATAAGTTCAACCATTAATTAACGTATTCTGCCTGGAAAAAGAAACCTAGCAGCGACTTCCTCGCTGACGAGAAACCTAGAGGTTGTCACTACTTGAGGACGCAACAATCTGTTACAGTTTAATGCTTCCAAGACACAGTTGACTAACAGGATGCGTTCTAGTAATCACTCAGTTTCGATGGATCCAAATGACAGACCAATATTTCTAGAACATGTCCTTGGACATAAGAACTGGAGTGGGGGTAACAGGTCTGAAGAATCAACAATACATTTTGGTTAGTTAACTATCGTCAGGAAGTTAACTTGTAGTTACTTGTAAATGCGTTTTTCAAGTATTTTGACAGCGTCAGTTAACTTACCGGAAGTTCAATATATATTTATGTTGCAGCCATGCATCTGCGGTTCTTAGATATCGTGTTCTATGCATTTTGTGCGCTCGGCATCTGTGTCCCGTGTGATACGTCATGCATGATAGTTCGATTGAATGAAATTTCTTAAAACAGTCAAAATTGAAATCCGGATAGTTAATTAAAAACCAATAAAACATAAAATATAAAACCTTCGTCAAGCACGGTAAGTTTTTTCAAACATTGTTCGTACAAATGTTTAGTAGTAGACCCTATAGAAGGCATTATAGAAATGATGATAAAAAAGGTTGCAAATGCAATTTCTAATGAACCATACTAACGTCAAAAAACAATTAAGTTGTAAATATCTGCTAAATATCATATTTTCCACCTTTTTTATCACTCCTATAATCTACAATCCAAAAAGAAAGGGGATACACAATACGTTTATTCTTGTTGCCAAAATTTCTCAAAAACTGTTTCCTAGCATGGAGAAAGAGATCAAAAAGAGAGCTCAAAACTTCTCGAAGAATGAGGAAATGATGCTAATATCATTGGGGAGCAAAAATAAAGATGTAATAGAGAGCAAAACAAGTGGCACAGTTACGTGAAAACGGAAAAGTTCAGTATGGCAGAGCATCGAACAAGAATTCCAAGCCCCAACAGGGTGCCACCGAGAGGCAAAAACTCTACGGGATAAATATTTCAATTTAAAGAAAAAAACAAAAAGCAAATTTGCTACAAACAAAAGCAATATAATCAAGACAGGGGGAGGTTCATGCCAATTGCAAGCATTCGATTTGATTGATACACAATTACAAGAAATAATGGGACAACAATTAGAAGGTTTGACAAACAATTATGATGATGACTGTAGTGACCAAGAAGAGGTGGTTATTGAACATGGTAAGTCGCATTTCTGTTGATTGAAGCATTTTTTAATTATTCATTTTTTAGTTCCTGATGCAAAGAACTGTGATGACAGTGAAGTGGTCTCCAAGAATGGAAAATGGAGCTCCTATACTCCCCAACAACTGAAGAGGCCAAAAACTACAAAGCTATCATGTACGAAAACAGCACAAAATAAAAAATATATTTCTGTTAACTATCTACTAATGGAAGAAAAGCTGATTTTTGTGAAACGACAAAAAGAAAAATTCTTTTTTTTTTTATATATATCGAAACAGCCGCGCAGGCAGAAGCCTAAATGCCGGAACACCGCGGCTGCTATGATGATCCCAAAGAAATTTTGTTAATACGATTTTTGAACTGCCTAAGGTTAGTAGAACTGGGAAAAACTTCCTCCCGTAGGTTGTTCCACAATCTAGACACCCTCGGGACAAAGGAGCGGTCGTATCGGCCAGTTCTGGATGTACGAAGTTTGACACGGTTAGGATGGGACGCCGAAGTCAGGCGGGTCTGTTTGGCAGGCACATCGCGCGGCGGCATCATGGAAGAGAGCTCTGAGGAGCAAAGCCCGTTGGTGTAGCGATAGAAAAGAGCTAGATCGCCGACGGCCCGCCGGTGCGAAAGAGTCCCGAGACTGTCTGTTAGAGAAGAGTCATCGATCAGTCGGACCGCCCTCCTCTGGACAGCATCGAGCATGGACAATGTAGTCGGGGCGGCAGCACCCCAAATGTGTGAGCAATACTCGAGGCTAGGCCTTATCTGGGCCTTGTATAGAGTGAGAAGGTCATGCGGAGAAAAGTACTTCTTAGCCCTAAACAAATAGCCTAGCTTTTTCCCAGCAGCTGCAGCTATTGAAGAGATGTGTTCGTGCCAGATCAGGTCCTCGGTGATCTGGACTCCGACCAGCCGAAATGAATGGCTCTTTGGTAGAACTCGACCGTCCATCGAAACTGTATGAGCGCTAGGACGCTTTTTGTTCGTCAAAGTACAGTACTGTGTTTTGGAAGCATTGAACTGTACAAGATTGTTGCGTCCCCAAGCAGTGATAGCCTCCAGGTCTCTTGTCAGAGAAGAAGTCGTCGCCAGTCTTCTTTTTTCCAGCTCAGCGGCAGAGATCGGCTTGTCACTCTGAATTCCTGCATGTAGAGTGCTGTCATCAGCGAAGCTGTGGATTGGGTTGATCGTGCAGGAAAGGAGGTCGTTGATATGTAAGAGAAACAGTGTTGGAGCCAAGACCGATCCCTGGGGAACACCCGCGTTGACGTTGTGGGATGAAGAGGAGAATCCGTCAATTACGACGGATATCTTGCGGCCAGAGATAAAGTCAGCCACCCATCTGCAAAGCTTTTCTGGGAGGCCGTAGGATGGAAGTTTGCTCAAGAGGGCAGCGTGCCACAGCTGATCGAACGCTTTCGTGATGTCAAGAGCAACGACATGAGCCTCACCATGAGACTGGATGAGTTTACTCCACAGTTGCGTGACGTAAGCTAGGAGGTCCCCTGTGGATCGTTGGTGCCGGAAACCGTACTGCCTGTCGCTAATCAAGCTGTGACGTTCGAGGTAGTCCAGAAGCTCGCGATTTATGCACCTCTCCATCACTTTACTTATAACAGAAAGCAGAGCTATAGGCCTGTAGTTGTAAGGGTCGGTTTTAGATCCTTTTTTTGGGATGGGCTGTACATGAGCAAATTTGCAGTTTTCTGGGAAGGTGCCGGATTCATAAGATATCTGGAAGAGACGCGAAAGAACTGGAGCAAGCTCAGCTGCACATCTCTCCAGTACAATGGCAGGAATCAAGTCCGGACCAGAAGCTTTGTTGATGTCGAGCGACAAGAGCACTCGTCTTACGGTCTTATGCCTGAATGTTACCTCCCGCATAGTGTGGGAAACCCTTTGAATTGACGGCACTTGGGCGTTGGTGGGGACGTCCATGGTGGAGTTGACAGCAAAGATCTTGGCTAGCACTTCCGCCTTGGCCTTTGAGTCGAATACAATAGTTCCATCCTGACACGTAAGTGGTGGAAGGCTACTGTGTAAGAAGTTCTTTTCAACCTGCTTGGCCAGCCTCCAGAAAGACCGACTGCCATTGCGCTGCGACATTACCCTGTGCCTAACTTTTATATCATGCTGGGTTTTGGCATTGCGAACCGCTTCGTTATATTTGTTTCTGGACTCGACGTCGGCTTGTCTGTTCTCTACAGTGGGGTTTTGTAAGTAGGTTCTGTGGGCCTTGATCTTCTGCTGGCGAGCAGTGTCACACGATTTGTTGAACCAGCCGTTGGACCCTGGTTTAGGAACTTTCACTGTGTGAGGGATGTATTCCTCCATTCCGACGTGGATAATTTCGGTTATTGAAGAACAGACAGTCAGACACTAATGGAAGAAAAGCTGATTTTTGTGAAACGACAAAAAGAAAAATTCATCGAAGAACACAGTAAAAAAATGGAAATATTTCAAAAAAGGTCCAGCTGTTAGATTTACAGATCAATGCACTGAATAAGTAGAAAACAAAGAATTTATTTTGTTAATTTCTGGAATATTTTCACTTTCACTCATTTTTTTTGTATTTCGCATTTATGAGGATAATTTATGTTATTTTAATAATAAACTGTTTTCAGAAAATCATGTTTATTTTCATTCTGTAGTTACAATAATAATGGGATAATTCATACGTGTGCGCCTTTTCTGAGGAACAACAATTTTGGCCACAACTCTTATCCACTTGCCATGGATTATCACAGATCTTATTCTAACCAACTTTTATCTAATATCGAGTCATTCACTGAGCATCAGTGAATGTATTGAATCGATTTACAAATTTGCAAAATAATTATTAATAAGGTAAGTTCTTATAACATTGTTGATTGCATTTTGTGGCAACCTAATATTTACAGGATCTGTCTCCACATTATCTACATAAACCATGTTAATAGCATTTTCCTGTTCAGGACTAATAGGGGGCATAGCTTCATTATTAGAACAAGCAATATTATGTAGCACTGCTGTTCCTACAGTAATTGCTTGAGCTGTATCAAGATGAACTCTGAGACCCATAGCTAGAGAGGGAAATCTTCTTTTCCAAACTCTATAGCTTCTCTCCATAACATTGCGAGTACGAATGATAGATTCATTGTATAATTCTTCAGCAGGAGTTGTAGTTGTATTTAACGGTGTCATCAAATAGCGTTTAATAGGATAACCTTTGTCACCAACCAACAAAGAGTTTCCAAAGTGACCTGATTCAAATTGTCTGCAGAGCTGAGAATTTGTCAAAATGTATGAATCGTGGGCTGACCTAGGCCACCGACATACAATATTACACAGCTTCAAATCTGCGTCAGAAACAGTTTGCACGTTCAGTGAAAAAAACTGCTTTCGATTTCTGAAGAGCTCTGCATGGCTTCCTCCGGGAGAAACAATTTTTATGTGCGTGCAGTCAATTGCACCTATGCATCGAGGAAACCTAGCTATGTTATAAAAGGATTGCTTTGCTTTGGCAAGAGCCTCAGGAGTGTCCGGTATTTTTATGTAATTACTTCTCTTACTCGCTAGTACTTTCGAGACTCTTCGGACTGTTTTGGATGCAGTTGATTTGGAAAGCCCAGCAAAATCACCAGCAACAGCTAAAAAACTTCTATTGGCGTAATAGCGCAGTGCTAACAACAGCTGTTGTTGGGGCGTTAAGCAGTTATTCCTGGAATGACAAAGTCATGTAGAAATATGGAAATAAAGAATAATATATGTATCTACCCGCTTGTAGGATATACTAAATCGTCATAGACTTCGTCCAGGAGAGTTTCTACAGTCCTTTTTGTAAGACGAAATCTTGCAAGGAAATCGAGGTCATCAAATTCATCAGAGAAATTCAGCCGATGGCGGATTATTTTTGGCCTTCTCGGGTCTTCGTCACTGCTATACGCATTCACATCGTAATCCATAAACATGTTTATAGCTTAAATTAATCGATAGATTGATATGGATTTGTTGTGATTTTTTGAATAAACGTCAAAGTTTATGTCAAAGACGTCAGGTATTGCTATTTAACTACAGCCTTTCTAGTTAACCCATAGATGATCTGGTTAAAGTTAACTTCCGTTTTACTATAAACATGATATTGAAAAACGCTTTTTCATAAATAACTATAAGTTAAGACCAAGGTCGTAGCTAACCTGCGATTGAAAAACCGGGCCTAAGCCAATCTTGAAAATCGGATACTTAAGAAACTTCTTTTGAACATGATCGAATTGGTTTATATGACGGTTATAATAAAGACTCCAAAACAACGAAGCATGTTCCAATTTGGAACGTACATATACAAAGTATAATGGTTTTAGTAGGTACAGCCCAGTCTTTAGTAAGCTTACAGTTTCTAACAATAAAACCTAAAGCACTATTTACAATTTGAGAAATGTGATAGTCATTCATGTCACGTCACGCCTAAATCACAAACCTTTTTGAGCCAACTGATTAAATTTGCTACTATGTTATAAGGTGGTTTTCGACAAAATGTAACCACTTTGCATTTAGCAATATTCAGATGCAGTTTATTCAATCGACACCAATCTTAGCATAGATAATTGATACTGTAAGTATTCACAACCCGAGATGCTGTTGATTTCAAAGAACAATTTCAGGTCATCGGCAAATATTAATGTTTCACAATGAATATTGCTACTTATATCGTTAACAAAGAGCAAAAGAAAGAAATGGTCTCAAATTAGAACCCTGAAGATGCTGTATACAGAAAAGACTCGAAGATATTCAATGATGTGAGTAAATGAAGGTTATGTAAATATAATTTTAATATAGATATCGACTTTTCAGTGAAACCAAACAAATTGAATTTGGCAAGAGGTATGCTGTGATTAACTTTATTAAATGCCTCTGAAAAACCTACGTACACTAGGTCCAACATCCAAAATATTTGATGCCAATTGGATAAAAATTCAGATATGTTACGAGCAAAGAGGTAAGTCCGGTTATAAAGAATTATTTCGAAAAGCTTAGCAAAATTATTAATGATTGAGATTGATCGATAATTTATAATTGAACCTCTGTCACCTGACTTGTAAATGGGACACACTCGGGTTTCTTTCCATTTATTTGGAATGCTTGATGTGGTTAACATGCTCTTGAATAGAATAATCAAAAATAATCAAGGCATGCATTATACCACATTATACCAGGAACAGTATCTTTGACTAAAAAAGAAGAACTCATAGCTGCCCTGATGTCGTCTTTAGTTTCAGCTTTTAGCTGCATCGTACATTTCTTGTCACATCGTAGTTGATATCAATAATTTTCAGATATTTTATTTTCACGGTTGCAGGTTGAATCACCTTGAAATATATCTTACTATGTTTTATAAGAATAAATGAAATTACGATAGGATGCACGATGTCGCTCAAACCTTTTTTATACACTGCGCAATTATCTAAATCATCACGATCAACAATTAGCACACATTATATGCGTTGGCCTTGGGTTCTGCATATGACGGTGACTCAACACGACATATTAAACAATACCACCATCCTTAATTGCTGCCTCAATTATGAATATGCCAGTGGCATTACACGCATCTGAAATGTCTCATGCATAAAAATGTAGGCGGGAAGGTGTTCATAGCATAGAAAACGATAACAAAAATGCGGAGAATAATTCGAATATGACCAACGAATCCAAGTAGATTAGGAGCCAAGCCCATATATTTACATTGCATTGTTTGTTACCGAAATTGTGTAGTTCTAGAGCATACTTTTGGCTAGTTTTACTATCATTGCCTATCAAATTGGCGCATGATCGTTATCATCATTAGGATCATCACCATCATCTACAAAGTTAACTTTATGATAGAACGTTTAGGCACGAAGAAAATATTATTTTGCCTAAGAAAGGATGCATTCATTATATTTATTTCATGAGCATAGTACCGACCTATAGGCAGTCAAGTTGATATAACATGTAACCAGAGGATTCACTCCACACATGAGTACTGGCAAGTTGCTTTCGGATGTCTCAAAAGCCTCTAACAAGGAAAATAGCCTTTTTTGCTTCTAAAAATACTAAAATCCTTTTTGGAAGAAGTTTTGTCGACAAAACAGACAGTTCGGGCTGGTGCACCTCAGGGCTCGGTCCTAGGAACAATCCTTTATTCGCTCTTCATCCACTACGTCCCTTTCCCTAGCAACTGTGAAGTCAAACTCCACACTGACGACACTGCACTTGTCGCCCAGTTGTGTACTGGCGATCTGGTTCACGATGAGTTGCAGAGTGCGGTGAAAAAAGAAAATTTATTATACCAAAAGACGGATGGTAGACGAAAATCGTATACCATACAAAAATTCTTCCATGTATTTGGGGTCCTCCTTCATAAAGGCATGACCTACATACATACAGCAGCCTTGAAAACAAAATCTCAATTTGCGTTTCAGCAAGTATGTCCTTTACGATGTAGATCCTCCAAATTGAGTGTGATATGCAAAATTCGACTATACCTATACGATGATTATAGACCAGCGGTTACATATACAACATGTGCAGCTTGGTATTTTTCTGCCAGGACACAAATGCAAAGACGAACACTTCGCATCGTTCCATGGTATGTCTCAAATGAGACACTACACAGAGACCTTGACATTCCTTACTTAAGGATTATGTCAAGCTTCAGACGTAGCGACGTCATGATCAAGCGGAATTGCACAGCAACCCCCTGTTGTGGGACCCAGTGGACTAAACAGTAGAGCAAGTACGTAAATATCCAAGGCTCGCACTGTGGTTAAAAATTTTTGCGAACCTTTAGTAAACCCAAAATTATACTAACAAAACCTTCATCAAAGTTTGTTTTTAGTTCATCTCAAAATTAATCCGTGTACCAACTCAAAAAGTCTGAGTGTTTTCTCTTAAACTGATACATGTCTGTTTTTCTTTGCTTTTCTCCTTTTTTCTTCTATTTCCCTTTTGCTTTTTGCTTGACACTGCTTTCTGGGCGACCAGGACTGACAGATTAGACTAATGGGCAAAGGCACGGGTATTACGTATCTTAAAAAGTGACATTTCGTCGGTTTTTGTGACATATCGCAGATTTTTCCACAAGATGGTAACTTAGCTCAAGCTGTTGTACCCTTGTTGTGAACTAGGTTTGTAGTTGTAGGTGTTGCTTAAACGTCAGCAAACTTGGAATGGAAAATTCGCACACTAAAAACTACCTCGTCTGCAATATGACATCTTTTTGAGGTTTTTTACATAATACAAAAAATTTGGAATGATTTCGCAAGCAGCATTCTTCTCCACTGCCCTTAAGAAATGTTCTCCTGATTGAATCTGTTTCTTATACCGAAGCAGCCGCGGGGAGAAATGCCAGGGCATCGCGGCTGCTACGAGGAGCTTAAGAAAACTTTATAAATCCGATTAATGAACTGCCGAACGTAAGTAGACCTCCTCATGTAGATTTCTTCACAATCTCGATAGCCTAGTGCCAAAGGAGTGGTCGTATCGGCCAGTTCTGGAAGTCGGTCTGGCAGGCACATTGCGTGGTGCCATCATAGAGGAGAGCTCTGAGTAGCAAAGCCCGGTGGTACAGCGGTAGAAGCGATCATTAGAGAAGAGTTTAAACAAATAGCCTAGGTTTTTCCAGCAGCTGCCGCTATTGACGATGTGTTCCTACCAGACCAAGTCGTTGGTGATCTGGACTCCGACCAGCCGAAATGGACAGCTCTTTGTTGCAACTTGGCCATCCATCCAGCAGAGATCGGCTTGTAATGTTAAACAATTATTGCTACGTATTCACGGAGTTCGCAATGCTGTTTCTATCTAAGCCACCCAAGAGTCAAGGATTAATCCGCTCCACATTCTAGTAATGTAATGCCTAATACAGGAATGTTTTATACTGTAGAACACACGCTTAGCTGCCTCGCGCAACGCCGATATTATTAATTTATTTTTGGTAGATTTACGCCGAGACGAGTGTTTTGGGCAAAAGATTTACAGCGATATCAATCTTTCGGCGCCACGGAATAACAGGAGGCTTAATATGGAAATTATATGGCTTGGTGGCGACCTCCTCACTGAAATTGCCTTTTGGCTGGGACTCTTTAACAGCGCCGCTATAAGGAATAGTCGAGTCGAAAACCTCGCACTCAAAGAAGGAAATTTCATATTCAGAGTTGGGACTTTCCTTTACAAAGCGTATAGGGTAGACGATAATAAGCAAGTTGTAACTTTCCAAAATCACATGACTTTTTACTATTTTTGGCACACATTTGGGTTACGATATAGTTTTGGTATCGATCATGTAAAGCATCGAATTTTGGAACGCCCTCCTACTTTTGACACTGATTGACAGTCAAGTTCATGTCGGTCATTTCCTACTGAAGCCTTTGTGGAGTAGGTGTATCTGCCCTTCATTTGGTTTCCAAATTTTGGGATATTAGGCCCCAGTCACCAGTTTATGGGGTAGTACTCTTTTTCGTACCTACTTTACCTTCAGTAGCTTGTCTGTCTTTGCTGTTTGGTGCTACTCCGTCCATTTTTATGGAATTTTAGCCTCTTCAACGGTAAGTTTTTTTAAAACCATATAACCACGTATATTAATGCAGGTACGGAAGAAGTTGGCTCAAGTGGGCGTCAAGTTGCTTTACAATATCTGCTTCCTTTTAGTGAGAAGGCATTGAGAAAACCACCATCCGTACTCCC